CTTACGGTTTTTAAGGGGTAATTTGCTTTTATTACACACGATACGTCATACTTTATGCATTTTATAATGACATATTAAGCATTTTAATTTTAATTTTAATTTTAAACATTAATCTTGTGTAATTTAGTTGTAGACCTATAGAGTTATTAGTTTCATTGTATTATGCAAGTTATTTCCTGTTTGTGGCAAAAACATTACAGACTACTCACCGTGCTCTCTCGTTGTCAATAACTCCGCCCCTCACTTCCGGTTCTGTGACTGCGGTTCTGTGGCTGCGGTTCTGAAACTGCTGTGCTGCGGGTCTGCAGCTGGATATATCTCCTTGCGATAGCTTTGAGATCCACACGTTGGGAAGAACTGCTCCATGGGATGGCGCCAGTATGCCTGTGTGATCCGGACGAGGCGCCATCACCATCACACGCTGCTACTAGTTACAGCCTGCTGGATTACTGCGTCTTTATCTTACACCGTTTTGAAAAGAGCCCAGATATCGTGCTATTATCAAGTCGATTAATATTTTCTATCCATTCACCTAACGGTAAGAGTTTTTCTGACAATTATTTTCCTATTTTCTTTGCAGTCTGTGCCGATGGCTTTGCCGTTGTCGCGACGTGCTGGATGTAAACACTGGATTCATTTCTTTTACTGGCCGATACAATATTGCGAATTTGTAGGCGTCGTTGTATTTCGCAAGTTTTGACTTTAAGTCTACCAGGAAAATACAGTCTGATGATGTTGCATCAGTAGGCTAAGATAACAGGCAAAATTCGCTTGATTTAATATTATTATAGGCTACTAATGTCATTATAGGGCACCTCCTAGTGCGCGCTGCGCACTATATTCATTCATCCCCAACGTAAAAAAAAAAAAAAAAAAATCAATATAATACAATAATAATACAATATAAAACAAAAAATTAGCAAATATGTATTTATATTAAATCTAATTGTGAAAAACAACGAGAGAGATGCTCGTGTTTTACCATCTGCCACGCTTAGGACCCTTTAATAAGTTAATGGACTTGGATGCTTTTTCACCGGGGATTCTTTGGTAAACCTGTATTTAATAAGCAACCACAAGCCCACCATTTCAGAGAAGCGAAAACGCATCAATCAATCGATACTACTACTTGAAGGCATTAGTGGGTTTATAATGCAGATTGTAAGATAATGCGCATTATTTGTACACACTATAAATACATATTTTATGTAGAATATAGAATTTGATTTCAATTATATAGAATTCGATTTCAATTAATTTTTAATATATTTTATTTTGAAAAGATAGATTTAATTTTACTTTATAATTATTTGAGTATTTTTTACCCATATGTAAGGATATATTCACCTTTGACGTTTCAGCATGTTATGTACTTACATATATACGCGTATATGTACTTACATATTTAAAATATATTATATACATATATTATATATGTCTTTGTGGCCTACAGCCTCTTGGGATTAATTGGTTGTTAAAGTTATGCAAAGTGTGCCATACTGAATGTTGCAATGAGAATGGAGATTTATTTTAAAATGACTAAGAACAGAATAATATAGTTGTTGTTATGTGAGATATTAAAAAAATAATCCACAGTGATTGCTTTTTCCTCTGCAAATAATTCTAAAATGATTTTAACAGTGTTCCACTACTTTCATTTCTCTGGTTTCTCTATAGTGTGAAAATGTTTTACACTTGCGGTCCAAATGAAGCAATGGTGGTGTCGGGTAAGAAATATGAAATATGTTTATAGAGAGATATTTTCAGTAGAAATCATGAAAACACATTCACATATGTGGTCTGACTCCTGCCTCAGGTTTCTACCGCTCACCACCAGTCATGATCTCTGGTGGGAGAGTGTTTGTTTTCCCATGCATTCAGCAGATACAAAGGTATTATTCACTCTGTGTGTTGTGTATATATGTATGCATGGTTTGCATAAACAAATCTCAGCTTTTTCTCTTTCTTCCATCGCAGGATCTCTTTGAACACACTGACGCTGAATGTAAAGAGTGATAAAGTCTACACACGTCATGGAGTGCCCATCTCTGTCACTGGAATTGCACAGGTTAACTATCTCACGCACTCGCTAATATGCAGTAAACAACATTTCATAGGGTTTAAGAAAGCAGTTTTTGTCATTTAATAAAAAAAAGTTTTCCCAGATTACTGTGCTATTCTGTCTTTTATAAAATAGTTTATCTGCCTTTAATAACTTTTCTGTAAAAAAAATCATCAATTGTTATGTGGCTAAACTGAACCTTCTCTCTCTGACAGATGAAGATTCAAGGACAAAATAAACAGATGTTGGCTGCAGCATGTCAGATGTTTCTGGGAAAGTCAGAGGGTGAGATTGCCCACATTGCCTTGGAAACACTGGAGGGTCACCAGAGAGCAATCATTGCCCACCTGACTGTGGAGGTAAATAGACATGTGCACAGAGAAAAGGCCCACCTTGCAAACGTACTGCACTCTGCAACATCACAAACAGCAGTAAAACTGGATATAGTGTTCAAAATCTGCGCTTTCAGTCCTCGGCATAGTATATTGACTTCATTGAGCATGCTGTGTTTTGTGTTTAATCTTTAGGAGATCTACAAAGACAGAAAGAAGTTTTCCGAGCAGGTGTTTAAGGTGGCTTCATCCGACCTTGTCAACATGGGCATCAGCGTGGTTAGCTACACACTCAAAGACGTTCACGATGATCAGGTCTGTTAGCCCCATTTGTGTTGTTGTGTTTATCGAATTTAGGGCCAAATTTACTAAACAAGGCAAATTAGCGTGAGAGTGCAATCCCATAAAAAGTGTCGATGGGAAAGGAAAGTTCTGCAGATGATTTACTCACAATGTGTGAATTAAAGAACATAGATGCAGTCAGCGTGTTTTCATAATGACCACTGCAGTCTACCAACAGCGGTGCAAATTAGCATAGAGTTCGCAAACAAGCAGAGCAGATGATAATCGTGGATTAAGACATGCTTTTTTCTGGGCGTTAAATAATGGCACAAATACCAGTAAAATGACTAGTGGTCGACCGATATTGGTTTTTTGACAGCCGATGTAGTCATCTTGTAAAGCCGATATAATTTTATTTATTTTAATTAATGTTTAAGAAATTTGAAATAATTTGAAAATGGATTAAAAAGTAAATGTGTTAAATAAACATACTTATACTTTAGATGACAAAGTATTTTTCACAAATAAATGAATATTTAATAAAAAATATAATAAAAAAGGAAGTAAACACTGTAACCAACAGGGCACTCAGTATTCTGGGAAGTTTGTGTGCATTGGGATTTGGGAATCATATTTTTTCAAATAAAGCCAAGGTAACACTCATTTTACATACAGCACACAGTGGAAATGACATGAATATGGCAGTGAGCAAATGCATAAAGCGCAGCATAATTTGAAATCACGAGTTTAAAGTTTTTCGATCGCGCGTCTCCAGTGAAGCTGAACTCTCCTCCTGTCCGCATTCCATTCACACAGACCGACCGTCACGCAGAGAACACGCGATCATGCAGGATACACATGCACACTTCACAAGATCTCACAACTGGATCCGACTAAGTTTGCAAGGTTTGTGAAACTAAATGTTCATTA